CTCTCTCTGCCTGCCTCTCTGCCTACTTGTGATCTCTGTCTGTCAAATAAATAAATAAAATCTTTAAAAACACCTCTTCTTCTATAACCTCTTTGTGGATTAAATTCTTTTCACTGGTAGCAGATCTAAAATAGTCCTAAGTATCTATTTTAAATATTAAAAAAAAGATTTTATTTATTTGAGAGTGAGAGAGAGTGCTCATGCGAGAGCATGAGAGGAGGGCGGAGCAAAGGGCAAGGGAGAGAGGGAATCTCAAGTAGACTCTATGTTGTGCCCTTGTTGAAGGGCTTAATCCCACAATCCTGAAATCATGACCTAAGCTGAAATCAGGAGTCAGATGCTTAACTGATGGAGCCACCCAGGCACCCCCAAGCATCTATTTTATTTTTTTCCTGGTGATCCGTCCTAGTATTCCAGGTAATCTTAGGGGAAAACTATAAAAATTTCCCACCTGAAGAATGGAGAGAAAAGAACAACTAGTTTTTTAAACCTCTTTTGCTGATAACTATAAAACCTAATGGAGAGACTTCTTCCTGTGACTGAGGGCACTGAAGTTAGTAAAATTTTTAAGATCACCAACTATGGAGTCCTTCATCTGGGTTTTAGTCCTGGCTCTACAGTGACTGTGGCCAGGTTATTTAACTTCTCTGTGCTTCGGTTTCTAATTTGTAGATTGTGAATAATATATCTTAAGAATTTTGGGAGGAAAAAATTAGATAATACCTGTAAAATATTTGGAATAGTCCCTGACTCAGAATAAATGCTTAATAAATGCTTGCTGTTATAACTGTTGGCAGTATTATCTCTGGTACCACAATCATGATTTTTACTGAGACTGTTTTGAGTGATAAGTGAAAATCAGAGCAGCCTGTAGAATCAGGGTAGACTGCTACCATGAGAAGGCAAAACCTTGGCTAGATTTTTAGCACTTTTGTGTACATACAAGCAATCCTTGTTTTGTAGTTATGATAATGCACAAATTTATGTTACTTTGGTTTAGTTAAATAATACTAGTCCTGTAGTCAAATGTTTCAAATTTTTGTTATCATGATATATTAATTTTGAGTAATTGCAGAAAGTAAAAACTCTGTTGTTAACTCTTTATAGTCACCACATAAATTCAAGATCAGCAACTAGTCACATCACTTCCTTGAAATTCTGTTGAAAATGGTAACAGTGCATCTGTTACTTAGTTCACGCCCAGATAGCAAAGTGTGTGACTGTGTTGCCTCCTTATCTCTCAGTGATAAACCTGTGTAACATTTCCCCAAAATACATAAATTCAAAGAATTGGCCAACAATGTTAAATGTGCAGCAAAGAAATGAAAGTGCTAATGCTGAAAGTGAAATTGCATATGATCTTAGAAGATTTAGAAATGATGACAGCAGAATGAAGATAGGAAGAGCTCTAGGCGCTGCATGAAGCAATGGTGTCAACTGTTCTGAAAAAGTCTGGTGAATAAAAAGAGCACAATAAAGTCACTCTGTCATCTTTAAGTTTCAGTAGGAATAGAAAGCTGCTTAGGGTTGAAATGGAACATTAACTTCTACTTTGGATTAAAGGCTGCAATAAAAAAAAAATCTAGTTAGTTTTGCTAGCATTCAAGCCAAAATTTTGAATTTTGTTGCCACATTGAAAGGGAATGATACTTCTAAGACTGGAGATCATGCAGTTTCCTTAGCTGAGTTTGGAAGAAATATGATATAAGCAGTTGAACACAATCATGCGGGGAGCCTGGGTGGCTTGGTTGGTTGAGTGTCCAACTCTTGATTTTGGCTCGGGTCATGATCTCAGGATCCTGGGATCGAGACCTGCATCGGGCTTCATGCTGAGTGGGCTGTCTGCTTGAGGATTCTCTCCCTCTTCCTCTGCCCCCTCCCACATCTGTGCTCTCTCTCACTTTCTCAAATAAGTAATCTTAAAAAAATTAATGCATCTCAATGTGGTTTTGATATGAGTCTCCCTGATGGCTAATGATGATGAACATTTTTTCATGTGTCTGTTAGCCATTTGTATGTCTTCTTTGGTGAAGTGTCTGTTTATGTCTTCTGCCCTTTTTTTGATGTGATTATTTGTTTTTCTGGGGTGTTGAGTTTGAGGAGTTCTTTATAGATCTTGGATGGTCAGCCCTTTGTACTGTCATTTGCGAATATCTTCTCCCGCTGCGTGCATTGCCTCTTTGTTTTGTTGACTGTTTCCTTTGCTGTGCAGAAGCTTTTGATCTTGATGAAGTCCCAAAAGTTCATTTTCGCTTTTGTTTCCCTTGCCTTTGGAGACCTGTCTTGAAAGAAGTTGCTGTGGCCAGTGTCGAAGAGGTTACTGCGTATGTTCTCCTCTAGGATTTTGATAGATTCTTGCCTCACGTTGCGGTCTTTTATCCATTTCAAGTTTATCTTTGTGTATGGTGTAAGAGAATGGTCAAGTTTCATTGTTCTATACTTAGCTGTCCAATTTTCCCAGCACCATTTATTGCAGAGACTGTCTTTTTTCCACTGGATATTTTTTCCTTTGTCAAAGATTAGTTGACCATACAGTTGCGGGTCCATACCTGGGCTCTCTACTCTGTTCCGCTGGTCCGTGTGTCTGTTTTTGTGCCACTACCATGCTATCTTGGTGATCATAGCTTTGTAGTAAAGCTTGAAATCAGGCAATATGATGCCCCCAGTTTTGTTTTTCTTTTTCAACATTTCCTTAGCAATTCGGGGTCTCTTCTGGTTCCATACAAGTTTTAGGATTGTTTGTTGCAGTACTTTGAAAAATGGCAGTGGAATTTTGATCAGGATGGCATTGAAAGTATAGATTACACCAGTTAGAATGGCCAAAATTAACAAGACAGTGAACAACAAGTGTTGGAGAGGATGTGGAGAAAAGGGAACCCTCTTACACTGTTGGTGGGAATGCAAGTTGGTGCAGCCACTGTTTCCAGCCACTGGAAAGCAGTGTGGAGATTCCTTAAGAAATTAAAAATAGAGCTACCTTATGACCCTGCAATTGCACTACTGAGTATTTACCCCAGAGATACAGATGTAGTGAAAAGAAGGGCCATCTGTACCCCAGTGTTCATTGCAGCGATGGCCACAGTTGCCAAACTGGAAAGAGCCAAGATGCCCTTCAACAGACGAATGGATAAGGAAGATATGGTTCATATATATAATGGATTATTATGCCTCCATCAGAAAGGATGAATCCCAACTTTTGTATCAACATGGATGGGACTGGAGGAGATTATGCTAAGTGAAATAAGTCAAGCAGAGAGAGTTAATTATCACATGGTTTCACTTACTTGTGGAGCACAGTGAATAACCCAGAGAACATTGAGAGAAGGAGAGAAGTGAGTTAGGGGAAATCAGAGGGGGAGATTAACCATGAGAGACTGTGGACTCTGAGAAACAAGCTGAGGGTGTTGGAGGGGAGAGGGTGGGGGGATATAGATTAATTGACTCCCCACTGAGCAGAGACCCCGATATGGGGCTCAATTCCAGGACCCTGAGATCATGACCTGAGCCGAAGGCAGGGGCCCAACCCACTGAGCCACCCAGGCGCCTCTCACTTTTTATTCTTGCTTAGCAAGTATTTAAGGCAATGGTAGAAGAGAGAGTACAATGAATTGCATAATTAATAATTAATACTTAATTTGCAGTGTTTATTATAGGAGTTCATTGGGAGATTATAGCAGTATATAGATTATAGTGTATGGCAGTGTATATTACGTTTTTTTCAGTGGTATAGTAATATGTTTGGAAAGTTATCTTCAGATCTCAGTGACTTTATCTTTTCATGTACTCTGTTGTTTTTGGATGCCAAAAGAGATCCTTGTGCAGGGTATCCTCAAATACTAACAGGAAGTATATATTGCTTTACCACTTACCAGACTCATATTGGGATAGGTCTTACCTTGTTCATGGAAGAACAAGATGTACTACTAAAAAAGTAAACCTTTGGAAAATAACAAGGATCAGATTATGTAGTGACATGTCAGTTGTCAGTATTTTGAAATTTAAAAAATATTAACAGAATTTATTTATTTACATTCTCTACTACTGTGTGAAATATTCCATAGCATACTTTTAAATGTTGGAAAACTACAGTAAAAACACTCTAGTAAGTGTGGGTATGCGTTGTTGGCAGAGGGATACTGAGGACAGATCAGATTGTCTCTAGATTTACAAGAGTTACTTAAGAGGCAAGAGAATTTGAGTAAGTTGTTGGGTTTCTCTAGATTCTACTTTTCTTACTAAAAAGCAGAATTAATAATAATCTAACACATATAAAAATATTGGATTTAGCTGAATTTAGACCTTATGAAAATCCTTCACAAATAAAGTTGTAGGGGATGTAGTAGATGGGATTCCTAAAGCTTCTGTAGCATCAGGAAGCACAGAACAAAGTAAGTAGTTATTCCTGTGTATAGTATGTTGGATAATATCTTCACTAATATAATGGCACATTTAGTAATGAGTTTCATGTAACTTTTTTTTCAAAGTTATGGTATAATAAATATTAACAGGCTACTCAGTGAAAATGAGTGTTGAAGGCCAGGGTAATTGTTTCTGTTAATCTGGCTTGATACAAAGAGTGAGCACAGTTTTGTTATTTTTTTTAATCTCCTTTACTATTTAATTGGATTAGTTGATTTTGGCTTATAGGTTTGAAATAACTCCAAGGCAAATAAAGTTTCATTTCTGTCTGGAAACAAATTCATATTTTACTACTGTATTTTGTTTCAGTCAGTAATTTGTGGCCATTTTTATTACAGTTTTTGATCATTGGTAATCTTTTACATGCAGAAATAAAGATTTGGGAATTTAAATAACTTATTTCTATGCAGTTTTATTATGTATCTTAATTCTTTTTTGTGGTGTTTCTTTTAAAAAGTTAAAGTTATTTGTAAGTACAGAGGTCAGATTGTATAGTTATTGTAAAAAGGCTTTTTGCTCACTGGGCTTCTGTATATTCTTGATACCTTATTTGTCCTTTTTTTCCCCCCCAATGTTTTCAGATGTTTTGGAATGTTATTAAGCCCAGGTCGAAACGTGAAGAACAGTGACATGCATTTACTGGATATGGTAATGATAACCTTAAGCACATTAACCAAGTATAGATGATAGTTAATTTATATTTTAGAAGTATTTTCTATTTTAAAATTTTGTCATACTGTCAAAATTGTTTCTAACTTTCATCTGTATGGTAGTAATAATTTTGGAAACCCAAACTTAAAGTCACTTATGAGGGAGAGATTTAGAAAAATTTCTACCAAAAACTCATATGCAAATTGAAAGCAAATAAAAAGATAGTGTTGTGGCAATGTCCATTTATTCATCTCTTTGGGTTCTTAGGAAGATGTCTTTTCTTTGAGCCAAAAATAACAAGTACATGATTATAACAGGCATATCCAGAGTGAATATGGTGCCTTTCATTTATTTTAATGCACTGTTATTAATTTGAGTACTGTAATGAATGCTTTTGTTTTCTTTAAAACATTTCTCTTTCTGAATTTATGCTCCTTTATTACCTGTCCTTAGCAAAGTATATTTACTGTAGGAGTGGTATTTATTTAAATAATTTTCTTAAAGGCTAATATATATTTGAAAGTTGGTATTTTATGTAAAAATAGCAAACTATCTTAACTTTTAAACAGAAATACCTTCTATATTGCACTTAATGAATATATTTACTTTGTGATTTAGAAATGTTGTAGGAAGGTCATCTTGGAGTTTCAAGTAACTATGAAATAGTAAAATATAAAGTGACTTAACTAGGATTTTTATATTTAGTGACAGCAAGCCCTACACATTTTAATCTTTTCAGCTGAGTGTTGAAAATGTCAATTAAATAGCACCAATTCTGTCAACTTTTTCTTCAGGTTATATCATGCTAATGTCACATTGATTTTCTAGTGGTCCTACTGGAAATGGTTTGTTCAGCGCTTTGAGCACATAACTGTGTGCCAGGCATTGTGGGGAGTGCTGGGTTTACAGATATGGTAAAACATAGCTCTTAGCATCTGTGGGTTTATAGATTTTTAAAAAATTTTTTTTTATTTATTTGACAGACAGAGATCACAAGTAGGCAGAGAGGCAGACAGATAGAGAGGGGGAAGCAGGCTCCCCACTGAGCAGAGAGCCCGATGTGGGGCTCGATCCCAGGACCCTGGGATCATGTCCTGAGCCGAAGGCAGAGGCTTTTACCCACTGAGCCACCCAGGTGCCCCGGGTTTATAGATTTTTGATAAAAAACAGATCTCTTAAGTATGTAACTATGGCAGTGGGTTAAGTGCTCTCCTAGCGTTGATACAATGAGCCACAGAGATCTAGAGGAAGCATTTCATGAAAAGTTACACTGAATGTGGAATGAATTAGCTATTGAGCCACCTCTCTTCCATCCCTCTTTACAACATATCAGTAATACAGGTGGTTTTACCTAAGGCAAGCCATAGCATTTTGGAGTCCTGAAAATTCCATGAGGAGGTAGTTCATAACACAGGTTCCTAGGTCTTAAGAGTCTTTCAGAGTTTAAAAGATTAAGGTGAAACCAGGGCAGAGACTTTTTTTTTTTTTTTTTTAAATAAAACCTAAACACAGATTATAGAGTTACAGATTAGCATGAACTTCTGAGGCCCCCTGTTCTTGAGTGTCTTACTTGAAGAGCAGTTCTCCACTTTGAAGAGTCCATATTGAAATCAAAGGGCTGGTCAGCACTGAAGCTTCTGTTCAACAAATAGTTGGTAGAAGTGGGAGGGTTTGTTTCTGCAATTATCAAGAATTGTGATTTGTTACTGATCTTTGTGCTATCTTTAATACATGGTTATTGAGCTTTGGCTAGACTACATTTCATAAAAAGGAACTTATTACTTATAATGAAGACTATGGGACAATTCTGGTTATTACAGAGTTATTTCCTTATAATCACCTGAAATCATATTCCTTATAACTTTGCCTAATTAGTTTTAGTTCTGTCCTCTAGAGCAAGATATTCTTCTGACTCATTCAAATATGTGAATACTTTGAAAACAAATTTCACTTTCTTACATTTGATTCTGATAAACTTTGGAAAATCCTGCAATTATATTTAATTTTAGAATTTGTGAGACTTTTCTGTTTATCTTGAATAATTTTTAAACAATGCTGACTTTTCTTCCCTTTGAATATTTTCTAATAACATGAATTGAGACTTTTAAAAAAAGATTTTATGTATTTATTTAACAGAGATCTCAAGTAGGCAGAGAGGCAGGCAGAGAGAGAAAGGAAGACGCAGGCTCCCCGCTGAGCAGAGAGCCCGATGTGGGGCTCGATCCCAGGACCCCAGGACCATGACCTGAGCTGAAGACAGAGGCTTTAACCCACTGAGCCACCCAGGCACTCCGAATTGAGACCTTTTACAAATTTATACATTTAATTTAGTATAAGATCTACATGAAAGAGAAAGTCCTATTTATAAGTGAAAATAATTTTCTAGTCAAACAGCTAGATTACTCATATATATATATAGAGAGAGAGAGTATATAAACAAATATACATAGTATTATATATAGTATATAAACAAAGTCTTCTATAAAATTGGGTTTTTGGGGATACAAATAAGAGATTCAGTTTTCTTCCAGTAGTGAGAATATTTTTGATACTGTTGGTGAGGAAAAATTTTCCTTTACCCTTCAAGGTTCTTTTGGCAGGTCTAAGAATTAGATTGACAAGAGACAGATTAGCAGGAGAAGACTGAATTTAATTACATATGTATGGGTGCTCCTTAAGAATATGATGCCTGTAGGCTGTGAGGCTTATATGCCATTCTAAGCTAAGGAGAAGGGTTAGAAGTTGAGGACTTCAGAGGGAAGGAAGGTAATTCAAAGAAGATGAAAAAAGTAAATGTTTGGCAAATGTGTTTGTGAGACCACTCAGAAACAATGGGACATAGGAATTTTAACAAACAGACTTTGCCCATTTTCTCCCTGACTACCTCACCTACTTTATTTTATACTGTAGTTATCTAGGGTGACCATAAGGGGGAGGTCAAAGGTTCTTCCTCAGCCCTTTTTTTTTTTTTTTTTTTAAATAAGCAGCCTAAAAATAACCCACATGCCAAAGAGATAGATTTTGTATGGCAAAGTTTGCTTCCGTATATGAAACTAGGGAAAGCCTAACAGCAAGGTACCAAGAGCTGAAAACTCAGTAGAGCCAGGTTTCTTGGAACTGGAATGCAATTTAAAAGTCCTAGAAATGCCTCAGAAAGTTTGTGGATCTTTACAGTTAACCATTTATTGACACTAGACTAGTAGCTGGTCTCACAGTTAAATATACACGATTACACTGTAATCCAGTAAGCTCGTAATCTGTATGTGTAAACAAGCAATAAGATTTTCATGAAACAGTTCTTACCCCTTGCATGTGTAAGGAACTCTGCTATTTTTTTCTTCTACTTAATTAAAAAGTCTTGTCATAATGTACTAAATTGATTTTAGGATCCACAAATGGGTCACCAACTGGTTTTTGGAAAACATTAGCTTGTTAGTTCTCTAGAGTCAGGATCATTTGGTTTTGTTTTCTCTGCTGGATACTTATAGGCAAAGACCATGACTTAGAGTAAGCTTGCATTTGCTTAAAGAATGGATGGATTAGCATGAACTTACATTTTTTTTTTTAACTTTTTATGTGTGTTACGTCTTTTTAGCACCATGTGTCTGCTTTACCCCACCATCTGCCTACTTGACCTCATAGCTTAAGCTTGCTCATTACTTGCCAATAGTTCATCTGTGGCTTACTCTGTGATTCCCTGGCCTCTCCCTCATGGCTTTTCTGCCCATGTTCCCACTGCAAACTGCCACATTCTGTCTGTATTTCCTAATTTATTTTCCTAAGAGGAGGATATCTAGTGGTTCCATCCTGGCCTAGTTTGGACAGAGACTTTTGTTGTCCAGATGTCTCTTACCTGCTGTTCCTGATTTTGTCAGCCCTGCTTGTGGTAGGAGCAGAGGAGTCAGGAGGAACTCTCAGCAAAGATAGTTGAAGAAGTATCTTTCTCTCTCTCTCTTTTTTAAAGATGTATTTATTTTAGAGAGAGAGTGAAAAGTAGAGTGAGCAGGGGAGGGACAGAGGCAGAGGGAGAGAAATCCTCAAGTAGGCTCTCCTCTGAGTGTGAGCCTGACTTGGGGCTTGATCCCACAACCCCAAGAGAATCAGACACTCAACTGACTGAGCCACCCAGGAGCCCCAAGAAGTATCTCTATAAGAGACTGGGAGCAAGCCAGGCTGTATAATGGAAATGTCTAGTTCAGAAACAAAAGTGCCATACTTGATGAGGAGAAACTTGTATTGAGGGCTTTTGATGTGTAAGACAGTGTTACTGTGGTGGTGTATTGTGAGGACTACAAAGACATAATGCTATGGTTGTTGGATTAGGCTGTTATGGTTACAAGGGACAAAGGTGCACTTAGAACACCTTAGAGACAGAAGAGGTTATTGATCTTCATGAAATCGTATGGAACCCTGCAGAGTGGTCTCTGCTATCTAGACTCTTCTGTCTGCCTCACCTCCCCCCAGAGGCTTACTCTTTCTTTGAGTCTCTTTATAGGTTGGGCTCCTGCTCTTTTTCCACCCCTGCTCCTGCCTCTGGTGCTCTGCCCCCCTCTCTTTCTGTACCTCCTTCCCCATCTTTCTCTTTCCTTCCTTCACCTTCCCTTTCTCCTTCTTTCGCCTTTTCCTACCTTGTCCTCCTCTCTCCCTCCCTGCCCATCTCTGCTCTTCTCTCTTTGTTCCTCAGTCTTCCTCCCTCCTTCCTGCCTCCCAGTATGTGCCTTTGTATTTGGACTGCATGATTATTTTTAATGAATTTTTTGTTTTCTCCATTTCTCTCTTACCAATTAGCAGTTTCCCAGTACTCTGCTGTTCTTTATATAGTCTTTCCTACTGTATAATTTCTGTTACCTTGTCACTTCATTTGATGTGTGGCCTATCAGGGCCTGACTTCTTAAAATCTTACAGCTCCACTGCTAACTGCCCACTTTGCTTCGTATTTATCGATTGGAAGAAATATTTTGATTGGACTAGCTATCTTCTTGGACTCAAGCACAGCACAGCTCTTTCCAGAAATGGATTGGGCTTTTTGGGAGGCCAGATTCTCATTCTGAATGGGGGTCTAATGAGAAGGTAGAGAGGATTAAGCATAGGGAGGGAGGGAGAGAGGAAGGGGTGGAGAGAGAGATGGAGACCGAGAATGAAGATGAGTATATGAATGTGGTGAAGGTGCTGTGTGAGTGTCCTTTACACGGCCTTGAGTGTACTTTATCTCCAGAACTCAGGATTCCTACTCTCAAGCTGACTACCAGTACACTAGGAAAATAGACATTGTAATCACCAGCATCTGTGTGGGGGTAAAACTGAAAAAAAAGTTTTTCTCTTTGTTTTCGTCTGACCCTTTCATCACTCTCTTTTCACAATATGAGGAAATGGCTACAGAGAATTTAAAATACTGTGGACAGCACTCCCTTGCACATGCGCGTGCGTGTATGCTGTGTGCTGTTCTCCCATGGGAACACCTCTAACTGCTCTCCCCCCTAACCCACACACAGCTGTATGGGACCCTGCTTTCACTATGGGAGCTGCTGGCTGCTTCAGTAGAGTCAGGAGTGCGCTGGGTGGACACCTTAAGGGGTGGAGGAGATGAAGAAGGGGAGGACAGAAGGGAAGGAGGGAGCGAGTAAAAAGGTAAAAGGGAGACGGTCAACTTGGGTGTTGACTACAAACCTTTATTAGTCCCCTTATAACATTGATTACTGATCGTAAGAAAGTGTACACATACATAGATGATAGAAAAGTTTCAAATTTGAGAGGCGTTGTGATAAAATAAGTATTTTAAGAATATATTATAAATTAAAATGGAAGTAAAATACTAACTGCTTTTCCTTTGATTAGCTATTAGTTCAGTTAAAATATCTTCAGTGAGATCTATACTATAGTTGTAATGGAAACTGGACATACTCGTATGCTTAAGTATGTGAAATTTTGACAAGCAGCCTGAGATAAACCTAAATATAACTTCATATCAATTTGCTTTTGTGAGTCAGCATATAAAGGTGTACCTTCTTTTAGCCAAGAAGTATGGGTATCTAAATAGAAACTCTTAGGAAAGCTGTAAGAGAATTTAATATTGAAAGAGATGCTTTCATAGGGTGACAAAAATTTTACCCCCAAAAATCCCATTTGATTGTAAGTCCAAATTTTAATAAATTTGATTGCTTAAAGTAAGATATAACTTAAAATGGTGATTTTCTTGATATGTATATTCTCAGTGATTTCTCTCTGAACTTTTCCAGGAATCCATGGGCAAGAGCTATGATGGGAGGGCTTACGTTATTACTGGCATGTGGAACCCCAATGTACCAATATTTCTGGCACTTAATGAAGAAACCCCAAAAGGTAAATTTTCTCAGAGGATTCATTATTACTTACTTTAAATTTTATATTATGGTCAAGGTTGTTTTGCTGCATTTTTAAAAATTCTGGTGCTTATTTAAAATGAAGTTATTCTCATTTAGATTTTAAAGTTGTTTTTTTTCTTGAGAGATTTTATTTATTTGACAGACAGAGATCACAAGTAGGCAGAGAGGCAAGCAGAAAGAGAGGAAGGGAAGAGAGCCCGAAGTGGGGCTTGATCCCAGGACCCTGGGATCATGACCTGAGCCGAAGGCAGAGGCTTTAACCCACTGAGCCACCCAAGTGCCCCTAGATTTTAAAGTTTTTTAATACTTTATGCATTTATGGGGAAAAAGTCCACTATTCAAACGAATCTACCACAAAGGTATGTGAATTAGTTTTATTAGATTATGTAGAAAGTATCTGGTATTTGTGTTTCATATGTTATCATAGAATTATTTCAGGGCAATGACAGGCACAAACAACTGTGCCACCCAGGTGCTCCTGTTTGGTCTTCTATTAAGGGATTATGTATTTTAAAGTTTATTTCTTCTATTAAAATAAAATTTCTATAATATTATATTAAAATAATATTCTTGGGGTTCCTGGGTGGGCTTGGTTGGGTGGTCAACTCTTGGTTCTGTTGAGGTCATGATCTCCTGGGTTATGAGATCAAACCTGTGTGGGGCTCCAATCTCAGGGGAAGCTTGCTTGGGATTTTCTCCCTTTGCCTCTCCTCCCCGTCGTGTGTGCACATGCATGCTCTTTCTCTCAAATAAGTAAGTCTTAAAAAATATTCTTACTCGAAAGATAATGTATTTTATTTTATTTTTAAAAAGATTTTATTTACTTGACAGAGACACACAGCAAGAGAGGAAACACAAGCAGTGGGAGAGGGAGAGGGAGAAGCAGGCTCTCCGCCAAGCAGGGAGCCCAGCGTGGGGCTTGATCCCAGACCTTGGGATCATGACCTGAGCCAAAGGCAGATGCTTAACAACTGAGCACCAAGGTGCCCCAAGATAATGTATTTTAAATGTAAAATTATTTCACAAGGCAGAAAAAACACCTGATTTCTAAAATTTCCAAATGATATCCTTGAGATTATAAATTACTCAGAGGATTCATGAATCAGAATTTAATTTTTTTATATTTATTTATTTTTTTTTTTTTAAAGATTTTATTTATTTATTTGACAGACAGAGATCACAAGTAGACGGAGAGTCAGGCAGAGAGAGAGAGGGAAGCAAGCAGGCTTCCTGCTGAGCAGAGAGCCCGATGCGGGACTCGATCCCAGGACCCTGAGATCATGACCTGAGCTGAAGGCAGCGGCTTAACCCACTGAGCCACCCAGGCGCCCCCAGAATTTAATTTTTACAGAGGAAGTTGAAGTTCTGGAGATGAAATGTCTTGGATCTTTTCACTAAACCACCAAGTTGTGTATTCTGTTTTATGTTTTCTGTTACTGTCTCTTAAACTTTGACAGTACTCCCCTTGGACTTTTAAGGCCTGCCAGGACAAGTACAATGTCTAGAGAATCCTTGTTTCTCTTGAATTGGCAGGTAGAATTTATTTAGAAAGAATGTAATCATTTTTTGTTGAATTTGATATTAATAGAAGTACAGTTGATGTGTATAAATGTTGTATAATTTTTTTTTAAAAACATTGTTGAAGGTTTCTTCTAATGATGGGCTTGTTTATTTGAACTTTAACTGAGAACTAAAAATGCTGGACAAAGTAAATTTTAAAAATATTTCAAAAGTAACAAAGAAATGACGATATGGATTAGCCAAACCACAGACTGAAAAACCCAATGAGGGGTACCTGGATGGCTCAGACAGTAGAGGGTGAGACTCTTATTCTCAGGGCCAAGAGTTCAAGCCTCATGTTGGACATGGAGCCTACTTAAGAAAAAAAGAAAAAGAAAAAGATAAAGAACCACCCCCTCACCCACTGAATCTCAAGCAGGATAAATAAAATAAAACCCATATTTCAACCTATCATGTTGAAACTAAAGAAAACCAATAGACACTAGCCCAGAAGATTCTAGGTTCTTATTAAAGGAAGGCTGTGGCCAAGTAAACATTTTAAATAATAACTGAAATTTTGATTGATAACAGTATACCCTTGCCTAAAACTACTTGCCAGGCTCTGATACAGTTCTGTAACTGTACAGAACTATTTCATCAGAGCCTTAGTGATTTTCCTGAGCATGTGGTGAGGGGACAACGAGGATTCCGACAGATCTCCAGGGACTTCCCTTAAATCATACAACATTTAAATATTCATTTAAATAACATGTTCCAATAAAAACTTAATATAGTGAAGGTTGAGAGTCTCTTCTGATTTGACAGTTCTTTCCATGCAACTCACCAAAGTGAATAATTTCTTCGATCTCTTTTTATAAGATAAAAGGACAAATCCTATGAATTTCTAGAGGCATTCTGGGAAATTGGAAAGATAGTTTTAGTTTAAAAGATATTCTGAATATTTTACCTAATTTTTATATTAAGAACCTGATCTGGGGAAGGAAAATTAAGTTTTCAGAGGTGATTTTGACCATTGATTTAGATAGGGACATGAGTATTGAGAAACATACTTGGAGAACGTCGTCATCTATTTAATCAAACCTATAATACAACATATACAATTAAACACAGAAAGTTACAATCTGATTGGAAAGAACCTTCTTGGGAAAACTTAACAACAAAGTCAGCATAACATACAGTAAATTTCTGCCACAGATAAGCGAGTGTACATGACGGTGGCAGTGGATATGGTCGTCACAGAGGTCGTGGAGCCTGTGCGCTTCCTTCTGGAGACAGTAGTACGTGTGTACCCTGCGAATGAGCGGTTTTGGTATTTCAGCAGGAAGACTTTCACGGAGACTTTCTTCATGAGGTTGAAACAGGTAGGATCTTTTGTTCTTTACTTGTAATAACCTATATATATATTTCTATTTTTTAAAATTATTTTTATTAATATATAATGTATTATTTGCCCCAGGGGTACAGGTACAGGTGAATCATTAGGTTACACATTTCACAGCACCCACCATAACACATTTTCTGTTCTTTTTTAACACTAAGATGATTTCTTAAGTAGTGATAAAAAGTGACAAAAACTTCTCAAATAATCAAGTGATAGAGTCAACCAATAGAATATTTGAAAAATCTACATCTAGGTCATGTAAATTAAAAAAAAAAACCACCTCTGTTTAATAAGTATGTACTCTTTTCACTAGAAACTTGTACTGTGTATTTGTGAGGTATCCACATACATAAGAGAAATACTGATTTATAGGTATAAAACAACATCCTATTATATATATTTATTTAGAACCAAAAAGACAGGGCACAGAAATAGCATATCTTTATAAAGTTATAATGAAAAAAAATTCCAAGTAACATCTGGGATTAATTTTCATAGTTATTTCTACCAAGATATTATATGAATACATTGTATGACTTATCAGTAAGATCATAAAACTATTTTAATACTTAATTAACAAAAGTGGAGTTTCTCTGACATCCCTAAATTAGGCAATGTTAGTAGGTAAAATACATAATTTTTGTTTTGTAGATGGAAGATGGTACTAGTGAAAAATAATTTGGATCGTAATAGGGTCTGTTTTGTGAAATGAGGGTAAAATGCTCTATTTGAATAATGGAAATCCTTTATATACTATTTAGTACTTCCATTTCCCAAATTTAGTCATGCTTTCTGGTTGATAGACTGCAATATGTGAAATGTAATGTGGTAAAAGCAAGTATCAGCACAGTGAACAGATAAAGAAGCTGCTTACACATTTTCATATAAAAAAAAAAGTCATTGCTCAGTTAGGCTTCATATACTACATATTTTGAAATTACTGTGTTTTTTGTCTTTCACAAAATTATCAGAGTGATGGTTTGGTACAACTTTTATTACTATTTGGATTATTTCCTTTTTTTGTAGCATATTCTAAGGAAGATTATATGAACAGTATTCAAAATATTAGCCTCTTGAGTATCTTTGCATATTTTATTATGGAATATTTTCCTTCCTCCTTCCTTTCTTTTCTTTGCTTTTTTGGTAGATTAATTGTTCTATCAAAGAATTCACTTGTCATTTTGAACTGAAGGATTATTCAGAGTTGTGTGAGAGCAAATAAAGGCTCTATATAGAAAGTGGTCATCATTCTTCCCAGTGACCATTAATAAATTATGATGTGAATTCTTCCTTCTTGAGACCTGATAAAAAGTTAGCTTCTTCCCATATCTATCTATCTATATATCTTCCCATATCTATATATCTATATCTGTATACTATATCTATATATCTATGCACACACACATTTATGGCAAGGTAAACAAGAGTACTAAGATTTATATATTTATATACATTTAAGAATGTATGTATTAGAGTAGATTTTTATAGTTAAGTGTATTTTCATATTTTAAAAACTACTGATGTTGAGTGACTGAGTAGCAAGTAATAAAATATTAAAAATACCGCCCAAGGTCATTTCATGTGAATTAAGAAGATTAAATCAGATTTACTTATAATATTCAGCTCTACTAAATGTGAGACAGATGTATTTTTTATGTTAATTTTTTATTGTGAGCAATTTTATGCCACAATATTAGAAAATGTAGATGAAATGGACAAAATCCTCAAAAATACAATTTATCTAAATGATGGACATAGGGATAAATAGAAAATCTGAATTGCCATATGTATAAAATATGTTGAATATAAAATTAAAATTTTTCCTACAAAGTGAACTTGGTCTGAATGCCTTCAAACACCTACACACTTACGAAATACACACACAAACACACGCACAAACACGTACACATACATGCACATACCAAGCTACACAGGCTTCCCCTGAGAATAGAGAAGGAAGGAATACTCCCTGACCACATTTTATCAGGCCAGAAAATAAATTGACGTGAAAACCTGACAGAGAAACTACAAAATGGAAAAACCACAGTAAGCTCTCTCACATGAACTGAGATGTAGATTCCTAAACAAAATATTTGCATACAAGATTCAGCGATTTATAAAATGGATAATTATATATCATGACCATGCAGGTATGGTTTTAAGTTGTTATTTAAGTCACTGTTAGTTAATGTACAGTGTGATGTTAGTTTCAGGTGTACAGTGCAGTGACTCAACACTTGCATACAACATCTGGAGCTCACAACAAGTGCACTGTGAGACTGATTTAAATGAATATCAAATATGAAGAAGGTGGTTTCTAACTTTAGTGGTATAATCTGTGTTCAGGAAGAAGTGTGGAAAGCTGTGGAGACTGAAGGCATACCTGCCCTGAGCAGAAATAATGAAAAGGAAAAGAATTGAAATCTAGAGAAGTTAAATGAATTATTAAAATTTATATGGATAATTATTGCAAGAATGGAAACTATAACTTCTTACTGAAAGTCATGCTATGCTGCAGGAAGGCTAAGCTAGTTTTTTTCAGTATTTCAGAGACTGGGTTGTTTTGTGGCCATTGATAATAATTTGGAGATGTTAGTCTAGACTAGACAACCTTGGTAGAAAGGAGGAGTTAAGTGAGCATCTAATGCAGTTCAAGGTTACCTTGGAATCTCTGGGTCTAGGCCATTCCTAATGTAAGTGATTCTGGGTGACTGCACTTGCTGAATAACCCCAGACAGTTCTCTACTCAAACAGGATTAGGTCAGATTCCTGGGGGATAATAACAAACCAGATGGGATTCCCTGTATTCTGTTCCATTGCTCTTTAGGTCTGTTTTTAGACCAATACCACAGTCTTGACCACTATAACTTTTTAGTAATTTTTAAAGTGTGATGTTCTAAGATTTCTGAAGTTTTTCAAAGTTTTTTTTGTCTCTTTCACATTTTTTGGTATTCTGACGCCTGGGTGGCTCAGTGGGTTAAGCCTCTGCCTTCATCTCAGGTCATGATCTCAGGGTCCTGGGATCGAGCCCCACATCGGGCTCCCTGTTCAGTAGAGAGTCTGCTTCTCTTCAGAATTTTAGAAATAATTTGTCAGTTTGTAGAAAAAATTCCCAATTTTTAAAAATTATTTAATTTTTAATTATTTCTTATAAACATATATTTTTATCCCCAGGGGTACAGGTCTGTGAATCGCCAGGTTTACACACTTCACAGCACATACCCTCCCCAATGTCCATAACCCCACCCCCCTTTTCCCACCCCCCTCCCCCCAGCAACCCTCAGTTTGTTTTGTGAGATTAAGAGTTACTTATGGTTTGTCTCCCTCCCAATCCCATCTTGTTTCATTTTAAAAAATCCCTATTTTGATTGGGATTGCCTTATATCTATATATCACTTTGGAAAGACTTGCTATATTAACAGCATCGAGCCTTTCCCATATATGAAAAGCCTACAGCTAATATCATCCTTAATGGGGAAAAAACCAAGAGTCATTCCCCTAAGGTCAGCAACAAGACAAGGATGTTCACTCTCACCACTTTTATTCAACATTGTATTGGAAGTTCTAGTCACAGCAATCAGACAACAGAAAGAAAAGACATCCAAATCAGTAAGAAAGAAATAAAATTTTCACTATTTGTAGATGACATGATACTCTATATAGAAAACATGAAAGACCCCACCAAAACCTGCTAAAACTGATAAATTTGGTAAAGTCACAGGATACAAAACCAATGTACAGAAATCTCTTGCCTTTCTATATACCAATAATGAAGGAGCAGAAAGAAACGAAGAAAACAATCCCATTTACAAATTGCACCGAAAATAAAAGGTTACCTAGGCATAAACCTAACCAAAGAGGTGAAAGTCCTATACTCTGCAAACTATAAACCACCGATGACAAAAACAGAAGATGACACAAAGAAAAGGAAAGACATTTCATGCGTAGGGATCAGAAGAACAGATATTGTTAAAATGTCTGTACTATCCAAGCAGTCTACATATATAATGCAGTCCCTATCAAAATACCACCAGCATTTTCATCGAATTAGAATAAACAATCCTAAAATTTGTATGGAACCACAAAAAAAAAAAAACCAAATAGGCAAATCAGTCTTAAAAATGAAAAGTGAAGCTGGACACATCAAATTCTAGACTTCAAGTTTTATTACAAAACTGTAGTGATCAAGGGAGTATGGTACCGGCGCAAAAACAAACACATGTCAATGAATCAGAATAGATAGCCCAGAAATAGACTCATGATTACAGGTCAGTTAATCTCTGACAAAGCAGAAAGAATATCCAATGGGAAAAAGACCATCTTTTCAACAAATGATGCTGAGAAAACTGGGACAGCAACAGGCAAACGAGTGAAACTGGACCACTTCCTCACACCATACAGAAAAATAAATTCAAAATAGATTAAAGACCTAAATGTGAGACCTCAAACCATAAAAATCCTAGAAGACAACACAGGCAGTAATGTCTCTGACATTGGTTGTAGCAACTTTTTTCTAGATAGATCCCTGAGGCAAGGGAAACTCAAGCAAAAATAAATTATTGAGACTGCATCAAAATAAAAAGCTGCTGCCCAGTGAAGGAAACAGTGAAACTGAAAGGCAGCCTATGGAATGAAAGAAGGTACTTGCAAAGGGGTTAGTATCCAAAATATATAAAGAACTGACACAACTCAGCCCCCAGTAATCCAATTTAATTAAAAATGTGCAGAAGACACAAACATTTTTCCAAAGAAGACATACAGATGGTCAACATATACATAAAAGATGCTCATCATCATTTCTCATCAGTGAAATGCAAGTCCATACTACAATGAGATGTCACTGTACACCTGTCGGAACGGCTAAAGTCAACAACACAGGAAACATTTGTTGACAAGAATGTGAAGAAGAAGGTAACAGGGTTCCTTCTTCTGTTGGTAGGAATCTGAACTGGTGCAGCCACTGTGGAAAACAGTATTGAG